AGAAGATTTTTATTTTTCCTTCGCGCGTAACATCCGCCACAACCTTTATACAAGACTCGCCTACGATACAAATTTTAAGTTCCACTGCGATAATTCCTCGATTTTTATATTCCCTTCGCACATAATGTCCACCAGAATTTGATACAAGACTCGAGTACGATAAAAAAATTTTAAGTTCCAAGCATTTATACATTTCTCTGGGGGGGGGGAGAAACGATTTCCTAAAATGGCGTCGCGGAATTGCATCCAATCTAGGAATGGGTTATAACGTCTTTTCTTTCATGGTTCTCGTGTCTCTGGCGTATATAAAGGTTGTAGCCGTTTCTAATAATCGGGGAAACGAAAAAATCGAGTTCCAGCTGTTGCGTATTCTGGTCGCGCGCGGCCCCCGTCGTCTACCAGCGTTAAAAACGATCTCCGACGGTAGCCGTGCGGACGGGATTCGTTCCTCGAGGTGGAAAAACGCGTTCGCCGGCCGCCTGGAAAATACGAAATGTGCCTGCGACGGAGAGCGGGGCCCCCGGTCTCGTCAGACTTTCCTCATAATTCCTAAAAGCTTCTGGAAGATAGCGAGACGGTCGAATACGCCGGGAGAAAGCGGAGGGGTTTCGAGGGACGAGCAAAGGGCACCATTGACATTGACTTTCTCCCCCCGGTGGGTGAAATGGAAAGGGGAGAGAAGAGGTCGGGAAGCTGGCGGAAAGAAGGGACTCCCGCAGATGGGTGTGGAAAGGACGGCTCCGTGGACGGAAACAGGGACGTAACGCGAGCCCGGCCAATTGCGCGGAAGATACTTATGGGTGCGTAGAAAGGCTGTGTAATTTCACGACAGGTGAAACTGCCGCGAAACCGGAGCCACTTTTCAGACAACGAGACAACGAACTTGGATTACGCCGACAGGGCTATCAATTCTCTCGGTCCTCCGCCTGAAAATGGCAGGGAACGCTTCGAACAGAAAACAAGCGACGATATTCTTCCCTCGAAGTCGGACGAAACCGTTTCTAATGATTATTATTCTTCGCCAAGTCTCGACTCGTTCACGGTCGTCCTTCCTACTTTCAGGATAGACTGTTTCAGAAGTAACTTAAAATAAAATTGATTTTTTCACGTAAGGTTTGTTGCATAAAACTTGTCGACGATCGTGGCACGTTGGACACCACCAGTTCTCGTGAAAAAACGTATTATTTGTATATTGTTTATATGCACTCAAATGGGTACATACTAAATAAATAAATTAATACAATATTAAAAAAGAAAGTATCCATATCGAATATATTCGAGGCTAATTATGAGCCCATGAAGCTCGCAAGAGAATGGTGAGAAACAAAAAATCGGATCGAAAGGGAAGAGCCACCCTCGTCCGGAAGTACGGGGACGATCGAATTAAATATTCCCTGGAATATTTAAACAACGATCAAGCTCTACTTGGAGAGGGAGTAGGAAGAGTTTCGATACGTTCCCCAAGAGTTTCCCCCTCGTAGTTCTGTTGGGCGAACGAATTCCGGAACTTCGTTCTCAACGGGGTATAACGTGTGGCTCTCCGGGGAAAGCATCGCAAGGAGGCGATTTGCGGCTTGATATCCGTGACGCGCGCGTTGCATCGTGTTCAACAAGCACCGAGGGATTCTTGGAAAACAATAAAACGTTTATAATTCGAGTAAGTTCGAGAGATCGAGAACAGAGAGGAGAGAAGAAGGGTCCCCGGATTCGTCGGGTTATCGCGGATGCAGGATCGTCGGGTTAAAATTTCATATCTCCTATCGTCCGCCATCGAGCGTGAAGAGCCACCGAGATACGGACCTCTTGCGATCGAGCTTTTCAGATGCAGTCCACCCTCGGCGCTGCTGCACCGTGTTATCCTAAGGTGGAACGAGAAAGGAATTTCTCTGGCACCCGGGGAGAGACCTCAAATTCGAAACTTACGAACCGAGAGTGGAACAGGACGTCTGTGAACGCCGTAACTGTTCCGAGACCGGTTCGAAATTCACGAGATCGTGAATTATCGGATGTCGCGCGCTCCAACCTAAAAACGTACAGGGTGATTTTCCCGTCCGTAGACTCGATCGGGGTATTACTCTCTCGGCGAATGGAGCCGTCTAGGTAAACGACGTATCGAGCCCGCTAATAATTTCTTACGTTCGTTTCTCGCGTTCCCGAAATTCGGGTTACGCCTTTGTCGAGCGTCGGAGGATATCGTTCGCGGGCGAGGCCCCCCCATCTATCACGCGTTGCACAGGCCTGTAAGATACGATCGAGCGTGTCTCGATGTGTATCGATAATTCATCGTGCGCGGCGAGATACGCTCAAGCCGAATTCGGTGTTTCGCGACCGGCGATCCATCATTCGAATTCGATAAACCGCCTATCGTTCGCCGGGGGGGTGATAAAATTTTGCCCTTGGGCGATCCGTCTTCCGCGAACGAAACGCGATAATTCGAAAAGTACGTTCGTTAGATCCTGATAGAAGGACTCGGACGGCGAAAACGTTTCCATCTTGGTCGAGATTCCCACGGAAACGTTTACCGCGGAGCTCGAGGGTAAATTGCGTTTGCGGAAACGACGCGCGTTCGTTCGTTCTTCAATTAAATCGACCGCGGTGTCACGAATGGGTTTACATTCTGCGTCGTTGCGTTTAATTACACGCGCGGATCGCGGCTGAACGAGACACGTTCGTAAATAATTAGAACGGTATCTGGCCTCGATAGAGAGAGCGGTTCGGGTTGCTAAAATAATAACACTTCCCTGGGATCTCATTAGTACTTATGCTTCACGAGCGTTGCGGAAGCGTTGTTTAATTTGTCGCGCGACAACCTTCGGATAAACGTTCTCTTCTCCGTTTTAAACGCACGGTAAACTTTTCTACTTCTCGACCTGTTCTCGAAATCCGCTGGAATCGCGGCCGATAGCGCTTACATTTTTCCGGATAAATTGCGAACGCGTCGCGACAACGTGGATTCCGGTACGTTCTGGACGGATAAAGCGTCCCCGGTTGTTCGGACTGGCTATAGACGCGGATCCGAGAGCAACGACATGCACTCATGGCACCCGTATGAAATATTCCAGTAGCCCGGCTACGTGATGCGATGCAGACGCACGGAATATTCCTTTGTATCTTTGTCTACAGGTGACACGGCTAAAGTGCACTTTTCTCCGAGGGACGAATGAAAAATGAGAGGACCCGAGCACAGGGGGGGATAACGGAGATAACGGAGAAGAAACAGAGAAGACGCGACCCCGCGACTCGAACGAGAGAAAAGACCTAACGAGGTTGGCTGATTCGTGACAGGGAATAACAAATTTCTAAGTCGGATACCAATTGTTTAATTATCGACACGCGTCCTAAAACATTCCTTCTGTACTAAGAATTACCCGTTAATTACCTCGAATAACAAGGAAAAAGTAGGAGTCGTGGATGAAGATGGGCACAGTTTGCCTTTCTAGTCGACCAAGTGCATCCACACGGTTGCAAGTCACGCGAATCCCCGACGCTAACTTCCTAATCTAAATTTAAGACGTCGAAACGGAACCGAAGAAAAGGGAACCAACGACGCCGTTCGCGTACGTTGGTCTCCGTACGCTCGGACGACGAATTCTGATTTCTGATTTTCGTAAGAATCCGCTTTTTCATATTCAATCTTCTGATAGCGTTAAATCGAACGAGCCCGTATTTACGATCAACTACCTAAACGGTAAATTGGTTCTCCTCGGAGGTGCCCTCGATCATCGTTAGGGCGCCTTATCATCGATTGCTATCACGAAACACTCGCAAATCAAGATTACGTGCTCCGCGTCGTTCTCGCTTCGCCCCTCGTTTCTCTTTGCTCCTTGCCGCCCGTCTATGTCCGATCGAGTAATTTCGGCTAAGTGACTCTCTCTTTCTTGCTCCTCGAACCATCGACGGGAGATGCTGTTGCTTGGAACAACCCTTAAACCTTGTCGAGATCGATCCCTTCGTTTATCATATTTTCGATCGATTCGACGAATCATTAACGCGTTACGTGACGCGATTTACTCTCGCAGTTACATCGCTCGACCGCCGTGTTTCGTGTCCCGTTACTTCGAGTCGTGTTAAGTTTCACGCGCCAATCAGAAACCGGAGATATTCTCTATTATTTTGTGTAGAACATCGTCGAACCCCGATAGGCAAATATAACAGCATCGATCGATCGTGTATTAACGCTAATAAATTTTGTAACTGTGTGCATCGAACTGTTCGATGCCTCTCTTAGGCTAATCCAGCTTTAATACCATTCGCTACGATATAGTTATACGATCGCAGTGCGGTATTTATACTTTCGCACCCTTCGCCGTCTTGTTGCATCGTTTCTATCGATAATCGTAATGAACAACGGAGGGTAATTTAATTCGAGGGTTCACATTTGACAGCGGACGCTGAAATCGAGTACAGAAGCGCATTGCGGTACTAAGCATAAAGTCAAGGGAATGGGGATGGAGGAGGGGGGCAACTAGTGTTATAATTGCGTCGGGGAAAATTACACTTTCAAATGCCCTGGCACGCTGCGATGGGAACGTTTACAGTTGCCGCGAACAGTTGTAATTTCATTTCGTACTCGGTCCGCTTGATTCATATTTACCCGCAGAAAGAGCAGAAAAATATGCCTCGTTCGCTGATGTCCTCGACTTTGCTCAATTTTCAAAGTACGAGAAAAGAAACTTACCAGGAAGAAAACAATTTAAAAACCTCGACAGATCATCGGTCATGTGTAAAGTATAGAAGATGTTATTTTTTTGCCAAAGAGACCAACGATACGAATAACTTTGAAAACGAGTCGTACTGCGCTAAGTGTCGGTCTCGGGAGGCGCGCACGCGTCGTTTCGAACGGACGAATGGGTCGAGACGGCGGGAACCGAGGGGCCAATGGGAGGCTGGGACAGAAGGGCAAGTTGGCCGGCTGTGCAGCGGGAGGCACGGTCGGACGCGATGCATCGCGGTCCTCGCAGTACCGCGGCAACCCTCGATCGAAACGTATCGCGTGCGATGTCGCAAGTGACGTGCCGTGAAACGTGAGAACACCTCCTCCTTCCTCCCTTTTTCGTTCACGTTCGCTCGCGACCAAATTCGTGCGCGTCCAGTGTCCGTGCGCCATCTCTCTCTCTCTCTTTCTCTTTCTATCGCGCTTTGAAAATCCGTGAACAGTCATCCACGAAACGATACCGCGCCATTGCGACGTGTCACCGGTCCCTCCGTTCTCCGCGCGACAAACGATTCCCATCGCGGGCCATCCCTCGCGATCGCCACCGGTTCGCGCGACGACGCCTTGTGTGTGATATGTGAGGTGTGTTTGGTACTCGGCGTTCCTCTCCACTGCCGCTCTTTACCGCGGAAAGAACCAAGTTAGAGAGAGAGGGCTGCGACGCGCATCGAGACCAAGGTAAGACGATCCGAACCCGATCCAATCGACGGGGGGAGTGGTCTTGGTCTAGAATATTAACCCCTTAGCTACGAGACAACTTTGAATCGTCAATTTTTAGCCGCACAGTGGTACCAAGAGGGTCGATCGTCTTCTTTTTTCATGATTTCTTAATCCGATCGCGTTTACTCCGGTGGTCTCGCGGTTCTTTCGCGCGGACCCAAAGTTTTCCGTACGCGGGACACCAACCAGGGGCCAACTCCTGCTGGTAAACAAAGTTTATGGAAGATGTAGCGGAGTGTGGTCGGCCGCAAGGCTCGTATCGTGTTTCCCCCGAGCGTCGAGCTCGCGACTGTTTCCTCCTTTTGGCGGTAAATCTGGATGTTTTTGCGGGGGTAATCGACCCGCGACTTCGTTGCGTAATGTCTAGAGGAGGTAAAGCGACTGGCGGAATCGAGGTTATATAGCCGCGGCAATAAAAGCAAACACTCTCGACTTCGGTGGCGCAGTTTCTTCAATTTTCAAGTGGAACGGACGGGATACGCTGCAACCGACCATTTCGTTAATTCTTTTTACAACGACCACTGATACATTTACGATATCGAAGCTACTTTTTATGTTCTTCTACCCCTCTCTAAGTAATAAGCAATAAATTCTGTAAAACTGACTGGATTTCCACCATGTGTTATATTACAATTTTTTTTTTAAATACAAAATGGAATCGTCCCATTAAATACAGAACTACTATTATCAGAAGCTGTTGCACTGACTTGCAAACTCGTAGATACTTCGATACTAGAATCGTACAGAGAAACAAATTCTCAATTTTTTTTTTATCGTTCTCTAGTATTATTATCGTAACGCCGAGAGCGGCGTCTTTCGGTGCAACAAGCAGCAGCGATCTGGGGAATTTTTAATTTACGCGACGGGCACCGAAACCCACCCCGCGATCGCGAAACAAATACTATATCGGTCGAAATACGATCGAATGACGGAAGAGCATGGTTATGCGTGGCGTTCTGCGGTAGATTTGCGGATTCGCTACCGGAGGCTTGTAACCCGAAACAATTACGCTCCGATTGGACCATCCTGCGTACACGCCTCTGTCAATAGACTATATGGCCAGAGACAGTTTACCGCGTTTATTATCGCGCGGCGGGCAGCGTTTGTTAAAATTCGAGAATCAACCACCCGTAAATATATATATTTTCCGCGGAAAAACGTATTGTTCGCCGCGCAATTGGTCGTTTAAATTTCAACTTTCAACGTGCTTCCAGCATTAACTACTCTCCCTTCTGTTTGGAAAACCCATTTTTTGCCTCCTTGTTCCGCGAAAGCTTGTTTCCGTAATCGTTTCGCGAAATTGTAAGCGTCCCAGTTTCCATCCCCCCCCCCCCCTCCCCCTCCTTTTTTTTTCTTTTTCTTTCGCTTTTCAACGCGTACCGAGTTGTCGACGATCACGGGGCGACAGGTCCTCGGAATTCCAGTCGAAATTCATGGATACGAAACGTTTCGCGTACTGGGTTCGATAGTTCATTCAGAAGTGAAATTGATTGCCGGTCGTGTTCGCTTTATATGATTAACGAGTTTTCGTGTTTCGCGACAAAAGGGCGTAAGTTCGAGCTGCAACTGCACCGATACGTGTCCGGTTAAACGAGAACTTTGACGGGAGAAAGGTCCATTAATTGGACACCGGACTATCGAATTAAATTGCCCTTTCTTTCTTTTTCTCGCTATCGATACCAAAAAGAATTAGACTGCTCATTAGTCACGATTTGTCCAACAGAATTGTTCACGGATCTAAATATTAGAATTCTTTCCGTCGATGGCGCGTTAAACGTTCGATAGCATAGTTATATTAACGCGTCTCGATTCTCATCCAATTATTTATTATTCGATGGAAATTACAGTCGCCGCTCTCAGTGCGATTGCCCGGTTTAATTATCGAGAACGTATTAACTAATTGTTGTGTTCGTTAATTCTTCTCTGGTTAATCGTGCTCGTTCATTTATCGACTTTGGTATTGCGGGGAAACGTTAGATTTATAGCCAGATAATCATAACGATCCATATTTTAACCACATTAAACTAAGATGCGCTCTGATAGCTACCGCGGCTCTAATTAATCAAGCACTCCATCAGGCTTTTTAATTTTCCGGATGCGTGCTCGTATCCGCACGCACAGGTGCAAATTAAAAATTCTTACTGGAAACTTTAATTACACGATACGAAGTTCGGAATATACTACGCGCGTTTGTCTTAGAAATTCATTCGCGCGTGGAATCTCGCTTGTTGCACATTTCCTCAAATGGTAGCTATTTCTTTTCATCAAGCGTTTGAAACCATACGTACAGGTGTATGTGCTTTACAATGGCGAGAAGAAATAGGTCAACGATGTTCTTAAATTTGCAATTTACACTTTTTGAGGATGGAGAAAATTTTCCAAGCCTTTATATTATGTTTGTAAACAAACAGATCGAGCGGTTGGCGCGGAGGATAGCTCGTTGGATTTCTAATTGCAAATCGTGAAATTGTAGAGTTGATTAATTGATTCGCGTAACCTGCGTTATAAACCGTGTAACGGTAAAATAAAATCGGACGAAAGGAACGGTTTTGAAAGGATGGCGTGCATTGGATGTAGTTGGAAACAGTATACACGGGGTTAGTAAATAGATTGGAGGAAGAGAGTGGCTCGGGTAATTTGCCCGGTAGACTAAAGTGGGAGCCAGCGGGGCAAGGTTCACCGCGAGATCCCAAACACTCCGAAACACGTGTTCTCCGGCAAACAGTAAACGAGTCGAAGACTAGCAGGGGGGGTGGCTGAGAACGAAGACGGGAGTTACGGTTTCGAGGGAAGTTAACGACTCGCCGGGGAAGAAGTTGCGGCCCCTCGTATACTTTTAAAACACACCCGCCCTCCGTTCGCCCCCTCCCTCCCCCCCCGCAGCAGTCGAAATCGGTCCGGTTCCTCGGTCTGCGTCGCGACCGAACTTTTGTAACGGATTCTGGGGATGAAGCTCTCGAGGAATCCGATTGAAATTGAATATCCAGAGAGACGGGAGCGCGGCAACTTCGTCCTCCCCGGCTATTCCTCTCGCCTCTCGCTTCCGGTCTCCGCGCCCTACCGCCATCGTCTCACTTTATTATTGCCTCGACTACACAGGAGGAGGGAGGACGAGTGGTTGGTTATTCTCCCCTCGTTGTAAATCCTGCTTCGAGTACGGTCTAACCGAAAAACTTTTTCGGCCTTTTTATTCAAACATTATTTAAAGCTCGAGCGCCGTGCAACGGGAAGTATCGCTGTGCTCTTCCCGCGGCCTCGGCGAAATCGCGAAACGTATTGAAACGCTCCTTCCGCCAGAGTTATCTTCCCCGTTCCACCCTCCCCGTTCGCGTGGACAAGAATGGTCGAATCGATGGGAAAACCGTATCGGTGGAAGTTTCCTTTCGTTTCGGGAACCGACTCGCGGAAACTTCCGGCGGGGGGGGGCTTAGTAGCAACGTGTTCTTAACCCTTTCGATGCCAAGTCCGTATTTATATTGCTCGGTATACGGGATAGACCCGTTCGAGTACATATTTACATTGTACGAAGTCGGTGGTGGCAATGGATTAGTTCGAAACTGTTCGTAACGCTTCGTTCTTAAAGGGTATTCGATAAACGGGAAGATCCATTAGTGTATCGAGTAGTAGAACGTGATAATCAAAATAAAGAAGTTTAAATGATGCAATAGTGTCTGTAAACAAAATCCAAGGTGGTAAAAATTGATTAACCCAAGACACTGTTCATCGTAAGCTAGCTAATTAATACCTAGCGTGGAAGGAGCGTTCGATTCCGAAAATATCGAGTCTCGCGGGGATTTATAGATATGAAACGCATTTTGTCGCGTGAAAAATACTGGATATTTACGACTTCGAGTCTTTTTCCCCGTCGGCGTGTCGCATCGCGCGCGGAGGAAGCGGAATCGTTTTTGACGAAGTCGCGAAAGCTTGCGGAGGAGAGCCCCGTGAAATACTGTCCCGGCGAGCGCGTACGTATACACGTTACGTCGATCGTTTTATGGCCGACAGAACGGTGCCAGAATTTTTCGTTTTATTTTCGGTCTCTCTCGCGGAAGTCCACGGGGCGTGTTGAGCCGCGTGCAACCGCCGGGGAAACAGAACTACCGTTTAAATTCATGTAAAATCTCTACGAATCCAAGGTGGAAAGGGAGGAAAGGGGCCGTGACTCGTTGGTTTTCATTATTTACGTGCCAACAAGTAATCGCGTTCGCGACAACTTGTTGCTTACTAGAAAATTCTGAAGTTGCCGTTTGCGGGACCCGGAAGAATTCCATCCGCTAGATAATTGCGCGGGCGTATCGCGTGCACGCGAGCTTTCTCGTACGGACGGTCGATTAACCGTAGGATTAGCTTTCAACCGCCTCGAGCGTAAACGATTTTTCGTGCTCCGGGGGGGAAAAAAATTGTAACGATTCGGCGTCGGTTGGGATTCCAAGACGATATAAATAGCGATCGACGCTATTTCCAGCCTCGTGGCAACGATTACAGAGTATGGATTAGCGGAGGACGTCGTTTCCAGCTTGTTTATTGACTCTGCGATCTTTTAGAGTTGCGGTATTTACTATTTATTAAGTTAAAGTTTTACTACGGAATTTCGATGTATTTTTGAACGTGTTCGTTGCGCCACAAGTCACGACGTCGCGTGTAAAAATTCCAGAGCCGAGAAGAAATTAGTCGGCCGAGGATATTCGAGGGTGGCCGTGTTCCCGCTGATTTTTCGGTCGTTTTCTCGTTCTTCGTAAGTTAAGGGCAGAAATTGGGTCAACGACACCCAGAGACAAACGATCCGACGCGTAAGCAAAATCCGCCTCGTGCAACGAGTATTACGCGTTTGCGAGATATTCCGGCGAGCGAGGTTAATGAAACGCAATGAAGTATATAAAAAAAAAGAAGGGAAAAAGTGAGAGAGAAAGAGAGAAAGGGAGACAAAGTAGTTTTCAGTTAGGTGGCTCGCTGCCACGAGTTAGTAGCCGCGGAAACCTCTATGGTCGGTGACAGTAAACGAGATACGACTTTACCGGTGAAATAACGTCCCTGTTCTGCTCCATTTTCCCGCGAAAATGTTTCCTAGTCTACGAATAGCTAGTCGTGTGTGCGTTCGAGTTAAGGCGAGATACGTAACTTTGGTTTTCGAGACTCGAGAGTCTATCATTCGAAGAGAAACAATTCTCTTTTAGAAATAAAAAAATATTTCTATCCAATTGTATCAGACTCTGTAAACGTCTGCTGGTGTCGAATTTCGCCTTCATTGTACGAAAGATGAATTCATTTTAAGAATCACTACTGCTTAAACATAGTTTTCTTCAATTTTGACGAGAGTAGATCTCACGATGTATCTTCCCCGTTCTCTTTATCGCAGAAGGAAACAATAATATTTCCTAAGAACGCAATTATTTATCCGCAGCGATGCAGTCGTTGTTTTTTGCGCGGCGGAACGATGCATATTTCATGCGATAAATCGATGGCGGTCTTTGTTCCGCGCGGAGAGTACAAGATAAGCTAATGCATGGCGCCGTTAAAAAGAAGCGCATCTGCATGCTGCGCTCGCGCGGTTGCGTCGTAGAAGAAGTCGCATTACAGGAAGATAGACCTCGTTAAACGATTCGACTTTTTCGTCCGGCAATTTTCTTGGTCGTCTCCTGGGAAAGAAACGCGACTCGTTTTGATATCTCGAATCGTCCCTGTACGCTTTCGCGCCCCTCCCCCTCCCCAGTCGTGTTCGATGCGGATTAACGGAAATTAAAAGGAGACTCGCAGAGAAAGGCAGATAACAAAGGTCCATTTGGGATTATTGCAAAACAGTGATTCCTGTCGAATTTATTTTCAATCGCGGAAAATACGTAGCTAACGATATTCGTATCGGTGTATTTTTACGAGCGACGGAAAGGCGCATTTAATTTTCATCCCTCCGGGGAGTTTCATTACCGTTTTCGTTCTGCCGTTAACTCGGTAATTAGCGTTCGATGAATATTTTCGATACCGGAAAATCTGTTTGATATTCAATGGTAGCCAGCGTTCTTTCTATTTTTTATACTTCTCGACAACAGAAACGCGCTACTTTAGCGCGATATCGGCCGATCCTCTCCCTCGAGTACGGACACCCATGGCGGTTCCAAGTCCAGCAAGTTTTATTTTAGCTCCTTGGTGGGAAAGTAATTAACGAGTTTTCTCTGATTTGGCAACCGGGAAAATGCGAAAGTTTCGAGATACACGCGATTCGTTAACGAGTTGTGTTAATACGCCGAGCGGTCGGGCGTATTTGTACTCGCGAGGCGGATCAACACGCCCGGGCCAACTCGTTTCGAAGTTCGCTAGCTAGTCCGAACGGGTTGACAGAAAGGTTTCTCGATTTTTAACGCGCGTGCAGACGTCGATTAACTTTTTTTCCCTCCCCCCCCCTCCATTTATTTTTTTATTTCATAAAAGAGTAAAAAGAATAGAGAAAAAAAATTTCCATTTCACCTATGAAAACGTACGAATATTGAATTCGATGAGGCGAATGCTAGAATTTTAGTATCGGATTTCCATTTTCGAGCATATTTAATCACAGTTTGGTCAGAAACCTCGAACAACGCGTTGTAACGCCCGTGATTGCAAAAGTTTCAGCGAAAAGCAGGGTAAATACGACGATATGCATTTTTCAATTAATTAAACACCGAAACTCTATATCATCCGCAGGTTCCGCGATGTTGATTCACCGTTCCATTTCGGTCAAATAATGATCGTTGTAAATACAAAACAGTATTTACAATTCTCCCTGCGAGTCCACCCTCCCGCTGAAAAATTGGCTCTGTTGGACGGTCTCGTAATGGAAATGAAACCGATACCGTAACTCGACGAACCGCCATTTTTGAGGAGTTCATTTTTGCGTTTCGAAACGAACAAAAGTACCATCGTCCTAAAAGGTCGATCGAGGCCGATTCCAGAATTCATCGACACCGTTTCTCTTAGACTTTCGTTAACAGAACTTGTCTCTAAAACTCCCGGTTTTCTCGACGAACGAAAATACGCGTAGCACTCCGAAAATGCGTTCTACCCTTCCGCGCTTGGCTTTTTATGGAATTCCAACAGCACGCGCGACGCACCTCTCCAGCTTCCTGTTATGCCAGAACTTTCCAGCGAGAGAGGGATTCGAAAAAGACGATCGCAAAACGCTCGAAACCTTTTACAAAAGTTCTCTCGCGCTCTGTTTCAATGTTTCTCCTGATTTTCGCTATTGACGCTGAAACTCGCGACTCCCCTTTCAAACCCAGAGGCTCTCGGGCGCGGTCGTTCTTGAATTTTTCCAAACAAGTTCGACGCCCTGCATCCCACGTCGCTTCTTACGGTTTCTGATAAATCTGTACAGTTCGTGACTTAAAAAAATGTGTGTAATCTTACAGTGAAGATACACCGACGAATTAAAAATATCCAATAGTTTGGTAAATAGAATTATAGAAAAAGGTTTTATCGAAGACAGAGACGAGGGTGAAGTTACTCGGAAATTTTCATGACATTTCCATGAAACAGCGGGTTCGGAAGTGGCGTTTTCTGGCGCACGGTGGTCGAGGAAACACACACAGGGGCGGTTTGGGGGCACGCGCGATCGACGTCGCGGTCTAGCGAGGATTAACTTCGGAACGATTAATGGAAAATGAACGAGTTTTCACGGTGGGACCGTAACACGATTGGCGTGGCGGAAAATCGCGCGTAGGCGACACCGCCATGAAATTTCGACGAGTGGCGGAGCGGCGTCGACCGATCGGAAGCGTTTCGAATGCGATTTGAATTTTGAGTACACTCGCGAATCTGCATATGTAAACAGAACGCGTCGATGCATGCTGGGGGGAAGGGGGGGCTGATACGATCGCGCGGCATCTCTCTACGTACGCGCAATCGTACCACCTGTACAATATGTCCCGTTCAACGACAGAGATGCTTCAAAAATCTTTATTATCGGGGACGCGCTACAATTTTCGACAAACTACGGTTACGCCGGACAACGGACAGCAATTTTTTCCTCTTCCATCGTTCGCGGTTTTGACCAACGTCAAACGTTCGTTTGTTCGACAAATTCTACTGAAATAAACGCGACGCTAAACGTTGATCTAATAGTAGCATAGTTTCTCGTAAATACTAATATTTCTAATAATATTGTGATGATCGAACGTACGAAGGAAGTACACCTTCAGAAATACCGCATAATATTGTCGAATTCATATAATATGATTTAGTGAAATAGAAGGTGGTCTGTCGAGTACTTGCGAGAGAGAGAAACATTGACGTAGCCCTCTGCCGGCGAGTGCGGGAACTATCATACCACAATCTTCCCGCGATATATAAAAATACAAGGTTTCTGCTCAAAAATCGAACAACAGTAATTCCATAAACGTAGATATATGAATATCGATCAAAATTGTATTCTTTAATACGTTCGAAGCGATTTCTACGAACATGAGCACCGGTTTACAGCTAACAGGGTGTTTCGCGAAGGTTTATAGCCGATCCCAATTTGAAATTACAGTTTCTGGCCAGATTCGAGCCACGACTCCCATCGTTTTCCCCAATTTTGATTTACACGCGAGTCTTTGGGAATCTGGCCCGAACGAAACGCCGCATAAATCGAACGCCGAGCTCTGTTGCGCTCGAAGCCACCGGGGATAACAACGAGTTGCACGGTCCGGCATAATTTCGATTCGTATTCAAGCCGTCGCGTCCGATTGATCGAGCCTCTGATCGAAAGATTATCAGGGCTTTAAAAACTCCCGTGAAATTTATGCGGCCGATCGGAGCCGGTGCGCGTGCAAACGCGTGCTTGTACGTGCACGCATTTCGCGGCGGTTCGATCAACGGACGGGCGTCTTCGTATTCTAAAAACGTTGTTGTTCGCTAGCATGGAAACTGAGAAGCCCGTGGAAAGCACGAACGACGAGCAATGGATTGATTTTCGAACCCGAACACGATTTATCCCGTCGTGGCGAACGAACGAACAAATATACTTGTCGATCTTTTTATCGTTTCTGTCGTGTTTTGTCGTATTAACGTTGGTCGTTGATGAACTTTCAGATGTTTCGCGGGACGTGGCTGCGGTGGTCGACGCTGCTGTTGACGCTGCTAGGGACGCGGCTGGTATTCGTGGTCGCCCAATGCGGATCGTTCACTCAGGACAGACAGGAAAAAGAGGACAAACAGGATAAGCTGGCGCTGTATAAAGTCACTTTAAGGACTTACTGGTCGAGGGCGCGATTTCCACGGCATTATCCAGAATGGAAGCCGCCGGCGCAGTTTGGCAAGCTGATCGGTGAGTCTTGGAACGTTTTCAGCCCAGGGGTTTCCGTAGAGGTCAGAGAAACGACGCCGAGGAACGGGTTTTCGGGGGCGGCCTCGCGTTCTTAAAGAAGATATTTAGCGAACGATGGAAAGACACACGCAAGGATACGAAAGTTTTATCTAGATTTGCGATAGAAGGCAAGCCCGTAGAATCGTTTCGAAGTTGGGATTTCAGCGAGAAATCCCAGTTAGCGGGTCTTCGATGATCAGCGAGCGCTTATTTCTGAGCCACGGCGCGCTTCGAGCAACGTCAGCTTACCCCGGAACACGCCATTTCCTAGGTTTGTTCTCTTCGACCTCCTTTCTCCGTCAGACCGAGAAACGATAATTGGAGAAGTCGGAAATTATCGGCAGTCGACGCGCATTCTGTCGTTTTAGCGCGTATCGAGATCCCAGGATCCGCGATCCCGCGTACTATAATCTCCTCCTTCTGTAAATAGGTCGAACGCTTTCTAGGATCTTTCCAAGAACGGAGAATTTGTTGGGTAAACCGTGAAATAGTTGCATTCGCGGAGTTGAGTCTCTGGGAAACTAGTTCTGCCTCGTTTCGAGTTTTTTGGTACCACGTCGGCCATATTGCTTGCATATAACGTCAGATGTTAGGAAAAATCAAATACTAAATGATATCGTCGAACTTAAATTGTCACGTTTTTATTTATTAATATATTTAATCCACTAGAAAGGCAATAAATCATAGACCTTGCAATGTATTTTTTCATTGTTTGAATTATGAATTGTTAAAATCCTTCAATCCGTCCAGAAGTTATGAATTTTTAAACATTACGTATGAAATTTCAGGGGAATCAGTTCAGACATGGTCAGACACTATATTTTTGATAATGAATTATTTTCTCAAAAATGCGTAGGATTTTATGGGTATGTCTATTCACCAAAAATGATTATAATTAACCCCTTCAGCCGAAAATATTTTTTTTTGAATGATTTGAAATTTTTAAATTTTGTCGACAAATTTTATACCTTCTCGAATTTTTTTCTCGAAACTGCGTAGGATTTTAGGGGTATGTCTATTCACCAAAAATGATTATAATTAACATCTTCAGCCAAAAATATTTTTTTTTGAACGATTTGAAATTTTTAAATTTTGTCGAAAAATTTTATACCTTCTCGAATTTTTTTCTCGAAACTGCGTAGGATTTTAGGGGTATGTCTATTCACCAAAAATGATTATAATTAACCCCTTCAGCCGAAAATATTTTTTTTTGAACGATTTGAAATTTTTAAATTTTGTCGAAAAATTTTATACCTTCTCGAATTTTTTTCTCGAAACTGCGTAGGATTTCGGGGGTATGCCTATTCACCAAAAATAATTGTAATTGACCACTGCAACGTAAAATAATTTTTTCAGATTGATTTGAAATTTTTTAATAACTTTTCAACGAAGCCTCGATCGAGAAATTGATGTTCTTTATTTTCGTCTTATTTCGACCTCTAGAATCTCCCATTAAAATTTTTTCCAAGGGGTGACCGAACACCCTGTATATACGACCCCACATATTTCAAGTTTGATAATAAAAATGTTACTGTAAGCCCTTGCAGATTTTCGAAAATCGCGTGTTGTATTATCCAGACAGACCGATCGTCGAATCGGAGAAAGAAACGTTGTCGACCTTAGGGCACGTTTTGTGCTTGTGCGGGGAGCAGAGTTCGGCGGGTCCATAAACAAGAGAAATATTTCAGATGGTAATGGCCGCCACCGGGGGAACAGGTGTCGCGGGTCCCCGGCGGTCAATAAATTTCCCTCGCGCCTCGTAACTTTTCACGGTTCTCGCGCCACCGATTCGTGGCTGCGGCCAAGAGCGCGCCCCGTCGATGGCGCGAGTCGAAAGTCGAATAAATCCAGAGGCCAACCACGGCCCCGCGTCGTCGGGGGGTCGTCGGGGGGTCGTCGGGGGTCACCGTTGGCCGCGTTTTCGCAGGGACGCGTTCCTGGGCGGCCGGGAAACGTCAAATTCGAATTAGGAAGGCACGCGCTCGGCCGAAATTCAATTTCGGTTTAAAGACCGTCCTCGCATTCCCGGGGCGAATCGGGGGGAGGGTCGGCAAGTCGACGGGGGGGCTCGAAAAGGTCGCGGAGGCGAAGGAAACGGAAAAGAGGGAAAGGCGGACGAATGCGGGGAATGCGAATGCGCGGCATTTCCAGCGTCGACGGCATTTTGTTTTACCCTGCACGGGGTAGGAGAATTCCAGAATCGTTAGCGAGCTCGCACGACCCCGCCACGGTGGCCTTCGAAGGATTCCTCCGTCGCGGGAAAAGCTAATTCGTCGAATTTCCCGTTCCTACGCGAGAAGCGAAATTTTGATTTCACGCAGGAATTCCGGCCTGTTTCGTCAAACCTCCCTCGAGACAGTCTCGGTTTTTCCGGAGTCTGATTTTATTTCGATGGATGTTTAAGGGATGAAATTTCCTCCTAACGGATCTCAACGACGAATGAAGATTTATAGATTCCCCGTTTATCAATTTAATTGTAAGGTGAAAATCAAGTGTTCTATGTGAACAGGGATTCCCAGGGAGCCTCAATGTGTACGAATTTGTGTTGAAATTCGAGTATCTGTTCAATTTGGAATTGCAGGAAGAGGCATCGAACGCGTTATAGTGACGAGTGTCGATGCTACGGTCGAACATCTCGATAAGCATCAAGTTGTTGAACGACATATCTTAGAATGGTTCGATGCAAGACTATCGATTTCAAACGTAAATGGTATCGGTGTCTAGTGACGAACGCAGCTGCTGGGGAGCTTGCTTCCACCCACCACCGGAAGCTGAACGGAACGGTTTCGAAAAGAATACGATCCTATCGATCGGTATTGCGATTCCTCCGCGGCAGACTCGAATTTAAACCCAGCTTTAACATATTTTAAACGTATTTCGTGTAATATCTCTTTTACACTTGGAGTTTCTAATTTACAAATTTAATTTTATATGAAATCCCGTGTTAATCCGACGTGAGAGGACTTTTTTTATGTCGAGTTTCACAATTATAAGACTACTCACTCCTCATGAAACCTTATAAATTAAAATCAACACAACTTTACATTCACGAGGTATTCGCGAAAAATATTTAGATTAAATAGTCAATGGGTTAAATAAACAAATACGAAACATTGATTTCGCGAGTCTGAAATCGATCAAAGGTAAAAAGTAATCCGTCGCGGAGGAAAGTGGAAAGCGGTTGAATCTTCTGCGTGCGTTCCAGGAGAAACAAAATGGTTGTCAAAGTACGTGGCCGGCGATAAACATTGAACGCTGATGCGGAACACGAAGGTGGGAACGAAGGAGGGCAGAGCTCGAAAGCAAAGCGAACCGGAGGAGCTACAAAACGAAATCGAAAATCCTTTACGGGCGATTCGTCGTAGCTATAGAGACGGTGGGAGTCCCTCTCTGTTTCCCAGCATTCCGTAGGACCTCCGGGAAAGCCTTTTCAGGATATATCTCGCGTATACAAACGAAACGGCACGTTCGATCGTTAACGGCCGACTAATGGAATGGAATTCGCGTCCTGAACGTCGGCCCCTACCTCTCGAACTTCGTCCTCCGCTCAGGAGGAATCCTGAAATCGGTATCGAGGTTCTCGCGTTGTTTGCACGGCGCAATTCCTTCGGCCAGACTTAATTCGATTCTTTTTTACTTCCGCCAACGTGGATGCTTCGTCTCGTGGTCCACGATTATTCGTTCCTGTTTCATCTCGACGACGACTATTCCCGTATTTTTCCCGATATTCCACCGAAGAGAGGTCGCCGACTGTTGCGTTACCGGGATTTCGCCTTCGTCGCCGATTCGTGGAATTCTGGCGGACGGTGCCAGAAATACAGCGAACGCACGCATGCGAATTAATAAAACATCGTCCTCCGCGAATGGCTGGCGCACGTTCTACGCTCGTGTCGCAAGATCGAGAAAGTAATCGCTGAAATTTCGAATCAAACGTGCTTGTAACGTCAAATGCAATGGACCGTTTCATTATTTCTATTATCATTCATTCGAGAGAAATTTACGACAAAAAGGGTGTATTATATCGTCGGTCATGAAAGTTAGTAAACTCGTGTTATGTTTTCAATGTATTTATTTCCATTTAAATCGTAAGATTTGTGAAAGATGGCGGAAGGTTGGTGCCCTGTGCACGTAAACGAAGGTGAAGTCGGAGGCGACGCGAGGAGGTGTCCCGTGGCGTATTCGAGGCGTGCGTGGATCCGAGAAATCTTTGGTCGCGCGAGAAACTAGACGGAAAAGCACGTCGAAAGCGTACCGAAAGAAGAAGAGCGAGAAGAACGCTTCGCGGCGTAGAGTTTTCTCTTCTGCGGACGCTCCGAGGGCCGCTTCTAATTATTCTTCTCTCGAGACACCCGCAGCGCGCGCGCGGTGTTCTCGTTATTTTTTTTTTCTTTTTTTTTTTTTTTTTTTATTTATAGCCGTAGAGTCGACGGTTTGGAGGAGCAACGAGAAGCGGAAGGACAGAGACGGAGAGACAGAGAGGAGTCGAGAGCACGTCGACCGAGGAGACGGCGAAGAAGAGCGAGAGAGAGACGCTCGGGGTGTGCCCGAGAGCGAAGGGGGCGTAGGTACAGAGGAGATGTATTTTTAGCTTGAACCGAGAGAGAGTCGAGCTTCTCGTTTTGCTCCCGTTTCTCTATCCTTTCCCGTATATATACCAGCCGCGCTCGAATCGACGCTGAAAACCGACCGGAATCGGGGAAAAAATGATGCACTTTACGCTCGACGCGAATTTTCTTTAATTGCGCCTTTATCGCGCGATTCTCTTCGAAGGAACAATCTCCGGCGAGAAATACGCCATCGCTGATCAACCATCCCCAAAGTTATCATTATTATTGAATAATTTAACAGATAATGGCCTTTTCCCTCTGCTATTGCGAGGGTGGCTAGCTAGCTAAATATCTATTTCATCCATACGTCTGTATCGTATGTAGAAACTTGGAAAGTATACTTCTTAATCGTCT